GGAAATGTCATCGCATGTCCTCAAAATTGACATCAAAGTAGTCATTAAGAATATGGAATAGATGAAGGATAAATATTAGAGACCCAAAGTGTACACTAGCAGAGAAAATTTGGTCCATAGGTCCAGGGTCCAAGGGTCTGCAATAACACACAGGGAAGGGCTATCAAACATCAAGCTAAAAAAAGGAACGTTAGAAATAACACAAATCACAGAATTATGTCAAATAGTCTTTGAGTCACCAGGAAGCGCTGGGAACTGAACAAATCAACATGCAAACTGCTTCATACATGATGTGGGAGACAAAGAACAGACATTAAGGGCTGGCCTGAGAAAGGCAGTAATGTATGTGAAAATGAATGCAGTCCCACTGCCAAACGCACAAAAAGCATCTCTTGTCTTGTTTTGGGATGTTCTTAAATTAGAATGCAATCCCATACCTTTATCCACTTCCAGCTTTTAACAGATAGTTGCAGTAATAATTGCTCAAATTCTACATGAGATTAGCACATGAGTAAATAGCACAGTTCAAAATTTATTAAATGGAGGTAGAAAATTTAGTAAAATAGGCAAATATCATTTGCACCGTTAATGAAAACTTGACAGTAGATAAATAAGAAAAGGAATGATGTTAGATTGAAATAAACCAAATGAAAATATCTGTCCATTATCCGTTTGATGCTTCAGTGCACTATTTCAACCATGTGACATGATCTGAAAAGAAGTGAGAGAAAATGAAAACCAAGAGGATTTTGCAAATGGAAAGAAAACAGTAGGCTTAAAAAAAACCTAAAGGTCTAAGTAGCAGATGCTTAGTGAAGGGTTAAAAAATGAGAAACATTGAGGAAATTGAAAAGGTCACTGAGGTAAGACTTTCTTATCACGAAGAGGTAATAAATGGGTCAAGACAGGGGCTAAAAGTGTTACAGATACCAAGGCACAATTAGAGTTGATGAATACAGGAAAGACAGGACAAGGAATGTGTATACACAGCACACAAACTGTATATCCAGCAAAACCAGAGTGGCTGAAAGAGCAGCTAGTAAAAAAATCAGTCTGTCATTTAAACCTGAGGGCAAATGTGAACCCAAGTGGATTATGTGCTTGGTTTCCTGGGGCAGATTTTCTTTTTTCCCTGCAATGTGTGTGCCTTCCCCTTTCCCCCCTCCCTCACTAGCTAACATCTTGGAAATTTTGCTGAAGGACACTAACGGATCAGAGAAACCATGGTGGTTGGCAGTAAAATAGGACATGCTTGGTTTTCTGTGTTCTATGTATCAAACAGTTCTGTGATGGTCTCAGTAATAAGCAGTCAGGTCTCAGTATTTTAGACAAAAGCAGAATTGACCTGAACACAGCCAAAAGGTTGCTCAAATTAGGGTCAATTAAGAATAAGGAGATGGATGGTGAGTCCAGGAGGAGGGGCATGTGGCTGAAGTTCCTTTGGCTGAAAGCAACTCCAGCTTATTCACACAAACTCCTATGGAATTCCTGAGAAGCACAGGGAAATTAAATGGATTTTACTGAGGACAAGGGAAAATGTGTCAGAAAGTGAATGCTAAAGCAAATCTTGAAGTCAGCAGTTAGAGCAATACCTAACTGATGTGGAGTGTAGACAGGTCCAGATGGCTTAACTAGGCTGTAACCAAAGCACTGAATCTCAAACATGACTATCTCCAGTCTTATTCTATATTTAATAATTTTTAAATTTTTCCTTTAATTTAAAAAAAAAAATATTAATTTATCCCTACTACTACAGCAAGGAGCCTAAAGTGATGAATTAAGATTTTCAAAATTCCTGTAAAATATACGTATCTTTAAAATTATATATGTAACACCCTGATACAAACTTTAAAGCACCCTATAGAGACTGTTACCCATTTAACTGGTAAAGCACCTCATACAAAATTGTGCCTGACTCTGTTTCCACAGTCAGTCATTTCAGATGGGATTCCTCTAATTTCAGTGAAGTTAACTCTGATTTACATCACTGTGTGTGACAGCAGAATCACATCCACTGTACCTTCCATAGACAAGCCTCAATCTCCTAAACAAACTCTACAGAGGTACAATTTTTGCTACATTTAATGAAATGGCTAAATGAAATAATATTTTATTTTAATGAACAATATTTTATCTTAATTAAAACACCTGGAGATCCTGACGCTCTGATGAATCGATGCATCTGTAACAGCTTCTTACCCACAGTCTACCTCTTCTTCCTGTGCTTTTTATAGATATTAAGCAGACATTTGAAAGGTTGTACCTCTGACTTCTATCTTGGCATCTTAAAAATTCGATGGTCTTCATGTAATTTACTCCACTTTTATATCAGCTTGATATCAGAAGCAGAAATTTACTGCTTCAGCACATGAAAGTTTTGTTTTGGTAATTTTCTTGGTTTATCAGAATCACTACCAAGAAGTAAAAATTCTTGTAACACTAGTCAGTTCCTATCTTTTCGCATGTGTCTAGGGGCTAGCAGGAAGGAAGAAAAATGTTTATTTTTCCCTTCGAAAATTAAATCTCCTTTTGATTTCAACTCCTTAGGGATCTATTCCACATTTCTGATGTGTGACTGTTTTGCAGCCTGGTCATCCACAGTAACACAACTGAGACAACAACAAAGACAACAAGAAGGGCTTCTTCAATTACATCAGCAGCAAAAGGAAGACTAGGGAAAACGTGGGCCCGCTGTTGAAGGAGGTGGGTACCCTGGTGACAGAGGATACAGAGAAGGTGGAGTTACTGAATGCTGCCTTTGCTTCAGTGTTTACAGCTGAGGCAGACCCTCAGGAATCCCAGACCCTAGAGGTAAGAGAAGAAGCCTGGAGAAAGGAAGACTTTCCCTTGGTTGGGGAGGATCAAGTTAGAGATCATTTAAGCAAACTGGACACCCACAAATCCATGGGCGCCAATGGGATGCATCCACGAGTGCTGAAGGAGCTGGCAAATATTATTACTGAGCCACTCTCCACCATCTTTGACAGGTCATGGAGAACAGGAGAGGTGCCTGAGGACTGGAGGAAAGCCAATGTCACTCCAGTCTTCAAAAAGGGCAAGAAGGAGGGCCCTGGAAACTACAGGCCAGTCAGCCTCACCTCCATCCCTGGAAAAGTGATGGAACAGCTCATTCAGAATGTCATCTCTAAGCATGTGGAAGAAAAGGCGGCTATCAGGAATAGTCAACATGGATTCACCAAGGGGAACTCACGCTTGACCAACCTGGTGGCCTCCTACGATGGCATGACTGGCTGGGTAGATGAGGGGAGAGCAGTGGATGTTGTCTACCTTCACTTCAGCAAGGCTTTCGACACTGTCTCCTGTAATATCCTCACAGGTAAGCTGAGGAAGTGTGGGCTGGATGAGTGGACAGGGAGGTGGACTGAGAACTGGCTGAATGGCAGAGCTCAGAGGGCTCAGAGTCTCGTTGGAGGCCTGTAGCTGGTGGTGTTCCCCAGGGGTCAGTTCTGGGTCCAGACTTGTTCAACTTATTCATCAATGACCTGGATGAGGGGATAGAGTGTACCCTCAGCAAGTTCACTGATGATACAAAACTGGGAGGAGTGGCTGACACACCAGAAGGCTGCGCTGCCATTCAGCCAGACCTGGACAGGCTGGAGAGCTGGGCAGAGAGGAACCTGATGAAGTTCAACAAGGGCAAGTGTAAATTGAAATATGGATACAACAAAACTGCCACCAAAATTCAGTAGGTCCAGCAAGAACTTCTTGGCAGCTCTTACCAAGAAGTATCTATTAGTAACAGTTACTCTTTGCCAGCAGCTAGACTTCTTAATCTCATTGAACAGATCAGATTTCCGGGCTATTCAATTCTTTGTTTTAGAGACAAATGACATTCTGTCATAACTGTTCATATGTTACACCCTTTGAATACTGTCTTCATCTCTTAAGTCATAGAAGTATATCCTTTGAAACCATCAGATCTTATCTGACCTGTTGCCACATGGATTTACCTCACTTCTTAGCTGCTAGAGTAGTTAGAATGATAACAATAAGCCAGTGAATATAGCTTTCAGTCATTTTTCAGCAAATTCAACCAATTTTAGAAATATTTTATTTTGGATATTATCTCCAGAGACATTTATTTAACAGTGGGATTTGCTTCAGGGCCTCAGCTGGGACCTTCATGCCCAACAGAAGGGGATATTACTGCATTGCAGCAGGTGCAGGCTGTAAGTTTAAAAACATCTTATCTGGTGGCCTTTAGAATTTGTTTGTTTCAGAGTTTTGACATTCACTTATTCTTTATTGCCCAACCATGGTATTTCTAAAACAAGTTCATCTTCCCGAGATGATCTCTCACTTTCAGGAATCGAATACTGCGTGTGGTATATGGAATCTGGCTAGCACAAAGGCATGCTTGTGCCTGTTGACAGTCAGGAAGGCAACAGCAAACAAAATTAATTAAGTTGGGGAGGGAAGAGGATTTCAGAAGATAAATTTGGTCCCAATTCACTTCCATTGACAGGCATCTCAGAAAAGATATCGAGTGAACAGAAGGATATGGAAAGGATAGCAGCTGGAAGTATAACAAGACTGGGTTGGTTTATTGTCTTATTCCTCAAATGTCCTGCAAATTTTCCCCGAGACCAAGAGGTATTTACCCAACCTTGTGACGAAAGCTGCAAAATCAACCAAGCTGCAGTTTTACTTGTTCTTTTTAACTTCCCACTTCACAGTCCTGTCCAAATTCAACTACCTTAACAAGCTTAGCTTTGCAAGCTTAAATTTATTTCAAATTCAAGCACCTTTCTTTTCTTATCTTCTATCCTTCATTTCCTTGCAATGTACAAATTTTCCCCAGGAATCTCTGAATCTCTGTAACGTAAAACAGGGCCAATATACTTAGGTGAAGAATTTTGCCTAGTATCATATTGTACAGTATTATATTCCACAGTTTTTATTTCATGTGGGTCTTCAAAATGTAGTTTTGGGTGTTTTCCTCAGACCAAGCAAGCCCCCACCCTTCCCTGCCTTCTTACCAATAAGCCCTGAGTAAGCGAGGAGGCAGTCAGCATAGTTCTCCTTCAGACAGCTACTAACAGACCGTGACTCAGGCTGGCAGTTTGTGAAGAAATCTGCAAGGCGAGATCTGCAACATGAAGAAAAATGCATATCCTTAAAAATCAAGCCTGCAGGCATTCTTACCTTTTACACTCCTTTTATTTTTGGACAAGGCTTGATATTCTTTAACTTAACTGTACATTGGACACATTTCAGCTGATGAGAGTTTCTTTCTAAGATGCATGTCCTTCCAGAATCCATTTTTGAAGTCAGAACAAAAAAGGGTAAGAAAACAGTAAAAAGGGATAGAACAACAGGGAAAAGGCCTGCCCTTTACTAAAAGAAATGCTCTGCATTTTCATGCCAAAGAAAGAGACAAAGAGTGATTTTATTATATGAGCAGTCATTTTTCCTGCATCTGTTAGTCTACAGATTCAGACCACAGTTTCTGCTGTTTTACTGATTACACAGAACCGTATGTTTCTGCTCACAGAGTCCTCTTACCACATGACTTGAGGTAGGATCTGCTTTGGTACTGTCCTGAGTTTCCAGGGAATGGACTTACCCCTGCTCTGGACTGGCCTGCAGAACCAGCTGGCTGAACTAGGGTAGCAGGCAGATCCAAATGGCATGGTCTCCACAGCCCCCTGAAGCCATGGTACTGAGAGTCTATTTGTTCTTGTAAAACGTGCATTCATCCAAAGCCTACAGTATTGAGCCCAGGGCTGAGAAGAAGGGGATGTACGCTCTGCATTGAGCTCTGTTGCTGAATGGCTGTATTATCTCCCCTTACCTCAGTTACTCCATGTCCAAGAAGGGGAGAGCACTGCTTACTTATAGAAAGTGTTTTAAGACGAGGAGTAAAGCTGTATTGCAATTAACAGATTACTACTCGTTGGAAACAAACAAAAAAACCCAACTAGCAGCCAGGAACTGTTCTGGTTATTTGCACTTTAAAGACCACACAATGCTCCCATTCAGGTGTATAAAATTTGAGAGACTTCACTGAGGTGGGTCACAGACGCACATCCTACTGTCACTCTCCTGCTCATCTTGGCCTGCTTTCTTCAGCTCCACTAGTGCTTTCACTTGGACTTGTAAACTTGGAGCAGTGACTTTTCTTTATTTATAAAGTGTGATTCAGACCTTTATCTCCATGAACAAAATTATTTAACCTCCCTACTTTGATCTTTCTTCTGTGAAAAAGGGATGAAAATGTTCTTTTCCATGTAACAACTCACAGTGATGTTTCAGGATCAGGTGCTTAAGCTTTGCAAAGCCCTCTCAAAATCAGAATAGTATAATTTACGAATTTTCAGCACTGCTCTAGCATTATGTAGATTTGCAATATAAATGCTCTTTCTCAGTTTTGCAACGAAAACACAAAAGTTAGCAGAAACAAGTGATTTGCAAGTGATTTACTTTATTTGTTTACATGCTCCAGGGACTAATTATCTTTGTTTGCTTTATTGTTTTACCTATCTCAGAATGGGATTGGATGTACATCATTAATTGGCCTGAAAGTAGTGATGGGCAAACTTCAAAAGGTTCACAGGCTTAGTTTGAGAAAGCATCCTATAAATAGACTATGCAAACTGTAACTGAATTTATCTGAGCTATTCTCATGACCTCTTTTTAGTTCCATCCCTCGCTAACTGTACTAACACCAGCAAATCCATGGTTGCCTTCAAACCACAGCCAACTATAAGCTGTTCACTCCCTCGCTTCCCTTATTTAACCATTTAACTTTGAGATGGACATTTGAACCCAGTTGCCTTTAAAGCTTTAAAAAGTCAAGTTCTCTACCAATCCTTTAAGATGGCCTATATGTATACATAAATTTCTAAATTTCCATAAAATCTCTACTTTGCTGGTGCATATAAATATACTGTACCTACCAGGAGACAGGCTGAGAAGAAATCAATTCCAAGGTACAGGAAGAGATAAATAGCAACACCATGAAGAAAATCTGGGCAAGGAAACCCTATGCCACTGCAGTGATTCCTCTCTCAGTCAATAATTAAGATAGTGGCTTCGATCCAGCCTTCTGAGCAATTGGGAACAAAGACAGTTGAGAGTTTCTAAGGTTTTTACAAATTCTACTAATACCTGGATGAAGTCTGTTTCAGGACAGAAGTGAGCCTATTATATCTATCTAGTATGAAAAACCTCTGCCACGGTAGAAAGAGCAAACCTGGTAAGTGCAGTATTTTTGCATTTCTAAAACAAAGTAGCTCCTCAGATTTAAATTTCATTATTTATGTGATCGCAAATAAATCTTTTTGGAGATGCAATTATAGGATCAGCATCTTGACAATCCTGAAAACATTTCTTGCAACCATTTCATCATTCTTAAACATCCAGTTCTCCCTTAGATTATTAGGTGCATTGGTCAAGAGCTCATTTAAGACATTCCTCTTCTTTAAGGACTGATAACTATGGAATAACACCAATCATTTATTACCCAGTATGCTTAAAGAATTTACTTGTTGCAAACCCTAAAGGAGGCTACAAATTGCTCTGCTGATCCCTTTTGCATACAGCTTGATCTCTATGTTAATTTCTGAAGAATTTTTGTGGCCATAAAAGGTAATGATCTGACAATGTTGCACATTTAAATTTTCATAAGTCAAATATAGTTCAGATAGCTCTGGTCCAAGCATTACTGGACATCATCATATACCTCCTCCCTAGTGAATCATCCAAACTTCATACTATCAAACTTCTCACTCTCTCCTGAGCTGGTAACTACACCTGATATTTATGTGGATTCACTTCCACTGGAGATAAAGTTAAGGCCAGTAAATAAAAACAGAGACAGACCTCCATCTGCCATAAAATAGCTCTGTTATTTACAGCAAAGATCTCCTGATTAACACTCACTGAAGATCTAGCCCCAAACACTTCCAGTCAACTGGCACTGATGAAAGTGTGCTCATCAGCAATACCAAAACAGTGGTACTGCTATTTATCCAGAAAGAGACAAATTAGCCTAATTAGGAAGCATAGAATTATTTATCCTACAGTATTGCACATGATATTAAGAGCTGTTTGGGTAAAAGAGTTCTTTTAGGGGTGCTGAAAAAGAGCAATCAGATGATAGTGGTCCCATAAAAAAATACGCATACTGTGTTAACTTAGTGCT